TGGTAGGGTGTGGAACAGATGCGTGGTAGCAGGTATGTGGAACAGGTGTGTGTGTGAGTATGTGGAAGAAGCTGTGTGGTAGCAGGTATGTGGAACAGCTGTGTGGTAGCAGGTGTGTGGAACAAGTGTGTGTGTGGTGCAGGTGGTAGTAGCAGATATGTGGAACACCTGTGCGTGGTAACAGGTATGTGGAACAGCTGTGGTAGCAGTATGTGGAACAGGTGGTGTGCATAAGGTATGTGGAACAGGTGCGTGGTAGCAGGTATGTGGAACAGGTGTGTGGAACAGGTGTGTGGTAGCAGGTATGTGGAACCGCTGTGTGGTAACAGGTATGTGGAAAAGCTGAGTGGTAGCAGGTGTGTGGAACAAGTGTGTGGTAGCAGGTATGTGGAACAGCTGTGTTGTGGTATATAGAACAGGTGTGTTGTGGCAGCAGGTAAGTAGTAGCAGATATGTGTGGAACACCTGTGCGTGGTAGCAGGTATGTGGAACAGCTGTGGTAGCAGGGGTATGTGGAACAGTGGTGTGGCAGGTATGTGGAACAGGTGGGTGTGTGGGTATGTGGAACAGGTGCGTGGTAGGAGGTATGTGGAACAGGTGTGTGTGTAGTGTGTGGAACAGCTGTGTAGCAGGTATGTGGAACAGCTGTGTGTAGCAGGTGTTTGGAACAAGTGTGTGGTGAGTATGTGGAACAGCTGTGTTGTGGCAGGTATATGGAACAGGTGTGTTGCAGCAGGTAAGTAGTAGCAGATATGTGGAACACCTGGCGTGGTAACAGGTATGTGAAACAGCTGTGGTAGCAGGTATATGGAACAGGTGTGAGGAAGCAGGTATGTGGAACAGCTGTGGTAGGAGTATGTGGAACAGGTGGGTGTGTGTGTGGAACAGGTGCGTGGTATCAGGTATGTGGGTGTGTGGCTTGTGTGTGTGGAACAGCTGTGTGTGCAGGTATGTGGAAAACCTGAGTGGTAGCAGGTGTGTGGAACAAGTGTGTGTGTGAGTATGTGGAACAACTGTGTTGTAGCAGGTATATCGAACAGGTGTGTTGTGGCAGGTGGTGTGGCAGATATGTGGAACACCTTGCGTGGTAACAGGTAATGTGGAACAGCTGTCATGTCAGGTATGTGGAACAGGTGGGTGTGCAGTGTGTGGAACAGGTGCGTGGTATGAGTATGTGGAACAGGTGTGTGGTAGCAGGTATGTGGAACAGCTGTGTGGTAGCAGTGTGGAACAGCGTGTGGTAGCAGGTGTGTGGAACAAGTGTGTGGTAGCAAGTATGTGGAACAGCTGTGTTGTAGCAGGTATATGAACAGGTGTGTTGTAGGTGGGTAGTAGCAGATATGTGGAACACCTGTGCGTGGTAACAGGTATGTGGAACAGCTGTGGTAGGAGTATGTGGAACAGGTGGGTGTGGGTATGTGGAACAGGTGCGTGGTGTAGCAGGTATTTGGAACAAGTGTGTGGTATCAGGTATGTGGAGCAGCTGTGTGTGTAGCAGGTATGTGGAACAGCTGTGTGTGTAGGTGTTTGGAACAAGTGTGTGGTAGCAGGTATGTGGAACAGCTGTGTTGTAGCAGGTATATGGAACAGGTGTGTTGTAGCAGGTAGGTAGTAGCAGATATGTGGAACACCTGTGCGTGGTAACAGGTATGTGGAAACAGCTGTGGTAGTAGGGATGTGGAAGAGGTGTGAGGAAGCAGGTATGTGGAACAGCTGTGCAGTAGCAGGTATGGGCAGGTGTGTGGTAGCAGGTATGTGGAAAAGCTGTGTGGTAGCAGTGTGTGAACAGGTGTGGTAGCAAGTATGTGGAACAGGTGTGTGTAGAACGTAAGTGAAAGAGGTGTACAATAGCAGGTATTTGGAACAAGTGTTGGTAGCAGGTATGTGGAGCAGCTGTGTGGTTGCAGGTATATGGAACAGGTGTGTTGTAGCAGGTAGGTAGTAGTGGGTATGTGGAACACCTGTTTGTGGTAGCAGTATGTGGAACAGCTGTAGTAGCAGGTATGTGAAACAGGTGTTCGGGCAGGTATGGAATAGGTGTGTGGTAGCAGGTATGTGGAACAGGTTTGTGGTAGCAGGTATGTGGAACAGCTGTGTAGCAGGTGTGCAGTAGGAGGTATGTTGGAACAGGTGTTTGGTAGCAGGTATGTGGAACAGGTGCGTGCTAGCAGGTATGTGGAACAGGTGTGTGGTAGCAGGTTATGTGGATCAGCTGTGGTAGCAGGTATGTGGAACAGCTGTGTAGTAGCAGGTGTGTGGAACAAGGTGTGTGGTAGGGTATGTGGAACAGCTGTGTGGTAGCAGGTATGTGAACAGGTGTGTGGTAGCAAGTATGTGGAACAGCTGTGTGGTACCAGGTATGTGGAACAGGTGTGTAGTAGCAGGTATGTGGAACAGGTGTGTGGCAGAAAGTATGTGGAACAGGCGTACGATAGCAGGTATGTGGAACAGGTGTATGGCAGTATGTATGTGGAACAGGTGTGTAGTAGTAGGTATGTGGAACAGGTGTGTGGTAGCAGGTATGTGAAACAGGTGTGTGGTAGCAGGTATGTGGAACAGCTGTGTGGTAGCAGGTATGTGGAACAGGTGTGTGGTAGCAGGTATGTGGAACAGGTGTGTGGTAGCAGGCATGTGGAACAGGTGTGTGTTAGCAGGCATGTGGAACAGCTGTGTGGTAGCAGGTATGTGGAACAGCTGTGTGGTAGCAGGTGTGTGGAACAAGTGTGTGGTAGCAAGTATGTGGAACAGCTGTGTTGTAGCAGGTATATGGAACAGGTGTGTTGTAGCAGGTAGGTAGTAGCAGATATGTGGAACACCTGTGCGTGGTAACAGGTATGTGGAACAGCTGTGGTAGCAGGTATGTGGAACAGGTGGGTGGTAGCAGGTATGTGGAACAGGTGCGTGGTAGCAGGTATTTGGAACAAGTGTGTGGTATCAGGTATGTGGAGCAGCTGTGTGGTAGCAGGTATGTGGAACAGCTGTGTGGTAGCAGGTGTTTGGAACAAGTGTGTGGTAGCAGGTATGTGGAACAGCTGTGTTGTAGCAGGTATATGGAACAGGTGTGTTGTAGCAGGTAGGTAGTAGCAGATATGTGGAACACCTGTGCGTGGTAACAGGTATGTGAAACAGCTGTGGTAGTAGGGATGTGGAACAGGTGTGAGGAAGCTGGTATGTGGAACAGCTGTGCGGTAGCAGGTATATGGAACAGGTGTGTGGTAGCAGGTATGTGGAAAAGCTGTGTGGTAGCAGGTATGTAGAACAGGTGTGGTAGCAAGTATGTGGAACAGGTGTGTGGCAGAACGTAAGTGAAAGAGGTGTTCAATAGCAGGTATTTGGAACAAGTGTGTGGTAGCAGGTATGTGGAACAGCTGTGTGGTAGCAGGTATATGGAATAGGTGTGTTGTAGCAGGTAGGTAGTAGCAGGTATGTGGAACACCTGTGTGTGTTAGCAGGTATGTGGAACAGCTGTGGTAGCAGGTATGTGGAACAGGTGTGGGGTAGCAGGTATGTGGAACAGGTGTGTGGTAGCAGGTACGTGGAGCAAGTGTGAGGTAGCAGGTATGTGGAACAGGTGTGTGGTAGCAGGTTTGTGGAACAAGTGTGAGGTAGCAGGTATGTGGAACAGGTGTGAGGTAGCTGGTATGTGGAAGAGGTGTGTGGTAGCAGGTATGTGGAACAGATGTGAGGTAGCTGGTATGTGGAACAGGTGTGTCGTACCAGGTATGTGGAAAAGTTGTGAGGTAACAGGTATGTGGAAGAGGTGTGTGGTAGCAGGTATGTGGATCAGATGTGAGGTAGCAGGTATGTGGAACAGGTGTGTGGTAGCAGGTATGTGGAAGAGGTGTGTGGTAGTAGGTATGTGGAACAGGTGTGTGGTAGCAGGTATGTGGAACAGGTGTGTGGTAGTAGATGTGTGGAATAGGTGTGCAGTGACACGTATGAGGAACAGGTGGGTGGTAGCAGGTATGTGGAACAGGTGTGTGGTAGCAGGCATGTGGAACAGGTGTGTGGTAGCAGGTATGTGGAACAGGTGTGTGACAGTACGTATGTGGAACAGGTGTGCGGTAGCAGGTATGTGGAACAGGTGTGTGACAGTACGTATGTGGAACAGGTGCGTGGTAGCAGGTATGTGGAACATGTGTTGTAGTAGATGTGTGGAACAGGTATGCAGTGACATGTATGAGGATCAGGTGGGTGGTAGCAGGTATGTGGAACAGGTGTGTGGTAGCAGGTATGTGGAACAACTGTTTCGTGGCAGGTATGTTGAAGAGGTAGGTGTGTGTGTGTGTGTGTGTGTGTGTGTGTGTGTGTGTGTGTGCAGGCAGGTGGAGCTTTAAAACATATTAAATAAAGAGGACCTGCCCAGCTTATATCAGCGACGGTACACTGTGTTGGTTCTTCATGGGGTGGGAGAATCTTTTTCTCTCTCTCGCTCTCTCCTTCTCTCTGTTTATTTGCATTTTCTTCTCTCATTCTCTTTTTGCCTCTATTTTACTTCCGTTTTCTCTCACTAGTTCATTTTCTCTCTATGGAACTTTCTTTCTAAGTCGTCTCTCCCACTTCATTCAGCTAGTTTTCTCTCTTTTATTTCTTCTTTCTCTTTCGCTTGTGCTGTTCTTCTTTCTTTCCTTCTCACTCCTCCCTCTTTTTCCTCTTTCCCCTTGCTCTCTACCAACCCTCCCTTCCCTCATTCCCTTTTTTATTTTACCAGCCCTCCTTTCTCCTCTGCCTCCCTCCCCATGCTTTTATCTAACCCTCCCCCCCGTTCCTCCGCTTCTCCCTGTTTCCTCTTTCCTCCCTCCCTTCCATTCTCAGTTTATCATTCTTTTTTTCCTTCTTGCCTTGTTTAGATGCTTCAGTTCCATTCCTTCTCTCCCCCATTCCTTCCTTCTTTTCCTCCCTCACTGCCTTCCTTTCGTCTCTCCTTCCATTCCGTTTGTCCCTCCCACCCATCCTTCCATCCATCAGCACGCCCCCCCCCTTCCCGTATTAGTACTCACTGTGCGCAACATGGATGGAGTGAAACACAGAGAAGAGCTTTTCCTGGGCAACAGTGGCCGTAGGTTGGGTGGACGTGGCGCTGCCAGTGTCGGAGTGGTAGGCGCGAGGGGACAGGCGGGGGAGTGATTAAGAGGCTTGTACTCTGGTTGGTATGGCTCCAGCATCCGTATCTTACCCCATCTGTGTAAGAGAGCAAATAACATGTTTTAGAAAATATTTGCCACGAATTTGTTGCACTATTTTGTATAGGACGAAAAATATCTTGTTTTTATTTTTCATTTTCCTCTTAAACGTTTTGCACTAGAGGGAAAAGTAACTTATGTATTAATCTCAATAAGGGCTCCACCATCCTTATGTTGCTAACATAGACAAATAGGAACAAAGTAGTGTCCAATGCACCGTCTGTGTACAGGATGCAACCTTTATAATAATAATAATAATAATAATAATAATAATAATAATATTATTATTAGTATTATTATTAGTATTATTATTTGTAGTAGTAGTAGTATTGTTACTGTTATTTTTATTATTAAGCATAAATAAAACAATATATTTCCGTAATACTGATGTCCACTAGACACCCCGTGATGTGAGGGGGAAAAGAATATTACCGTAAACTCTAATCCGAACTTTTGCTCCGTCACGTGTCAAAACTTTCCGCACTTTGCCCTGAAACTTTGACAATAATTTTTTTTTTAGAAAAGCGAAAAACATTCCACCTGATCGACCACCAGATGGTCAGTTGAATGAGGGTAATAAGAGGGCAACAGGGGGTAGTAAGAGGAGGGAGTAAGAGGGCAACAGGGGTACCAAGAGGAGGGAGTAAGAGGGTAACAGGGGGTAGCAAGAGGAGGGAGTAAGAGGGCAACAGGGGTACCAAGAGGAGGGAGTAAGAGGGTAACAGGGGGTAGCAAGAGGAGGGAGTAAGAGGGCAACAGGGGGTAGCAAGAGGAGGGAGTAAGAGGGCAACAGAGGGTACCAAGAGGAGAGAGTAAGAAGGTAACAGGGGGTAGCAAGAGGAGGGAGTAAGAGGGCAACAGGCGGGTAGCAAGAGGAAGGAGTAAGAGGGCAACAGGGGGTAGCAAGAGAGCATATTAAAAGTTTTATACGGGATAAAAATACTCAAGACTTACTAAAACCAACATAACAGCATGAAAAAATAATGTTTTTTTAACAGTGGTTTTTGCCAACCCTGGTAATAATAGCAAAAACAGCAATAAGAGGACATTAATAACAGCAGTAAGAGGACATTAATAACAGCAATATGAGGACATAAATAACAGCTGTAAGAGGAAATTAATAACAGCAGCAAGAGGACATTCATAACAGCAGTAAGAGGAAATTAAAACCAGCAGCAAGAGGACATTAATAGCAGCAGTAAGAAGACATTAAGAATAGTAGTAAGAGGACATTAATAACATCAGTAGGAGGACATTAATAAAAGCTGCAGGAGGATATTAATAACAGCAGTAAGAGGGAATTAATAACAGCTGTAACACGATATTAATAACATCAGTAAGAGGACATTAACAACAGCTGTAAAAATACAATAATACCAGCAGTAAGATGACATTAATAACAGGCGTAAGAGGACATTAATAACAGCTTAAAGAGGATATTAATAACAGCTGTAAGAGGACATTATTAACAGCTGTAGGAGGACATTAATAACAGCTATAAAGGGACATATGTAAGAGCTGCAAGAGGACATTAATAACAGCAGTAAGAGGACATTAAATACAGCAGTAGGAGGGCATTAATATCAGCTGTAAGAGGACATTAATAGCAGCAGTAACAGGAAAATAATAACAGCTGTAAGAGGACATTAATAAAAACTGTAGGAGTACATAATAACAGCAGTAACAGGACAGTAATAACAGCTGAAAGGAGACATTAATAATAGCAATAGGAGGACATTAATAACATCCGTAACTGCCCATTAATAACAGCTGTAAGGGGACATTAATAAAAGCTGTAAGATGACATTAATAACAGCTGTATGAAGACATTATTAACAGCTGTAAGAGGATATTAATAACAGCTGTAAGAAGATATTAAAAGCAGCTCAAACAGGACATTAATAACAGCTATAAGAAGATATTAATAACAGCTGTAAGAAGATATTAATAACAGCTGTAACAGGACATTAATAACAGCTGTAAGAAGATATTAATAACAGTAGTAACAGGACATTAATAACAGATGTAAGAGGATTTTAATAACAGCTGAAAGAGGACATTAATAACAGCAGTAAGAAGACATTATTAACAGCTGTAAGAGGACATTATTATCAGCAGTAAAAAGACATTAACAACAGCTGTAAGAGCGTATTAATATCATCTGTATGAGGACATTAATTAACACCAGTAAGAGGACATTAATAACAGCTGTAAGAGGACATTAATAACAGCAGTAACAGGACATTAATAACAGCAGTAAGAGGACATTGATAACAGCAGTAAGAGGACATTAATAACAGCAGTAAGAGGACATTGATAACAGCAGTAAGAGGACGTTAATAACAACCATAACAGTATATTAATAACAGCTGTATGAGGACATTAATAACAGCAGTAAGAGGACATTAATATCAGCTGTAGGAGGACATTACTAACAGCAATAAGAGGACATTAATAGCAGCAGTAAAAGGACATTAATAACCGCTGTAAGAGGACATTATTAACAGCTGTAAGAGGGCTTTAATGACAGCAGTAAGAGGACATTAATAACAGCAATATGAGGGCATTAATAACAACAGTAAGAGGACATTAATAACACATTAAGAGGACATTATTAACAGCAGTAAGAGGACATTAATAATAGCTGTTAGAGGACATTAATAACAGCAATAAGAGGACATTAATAACAGCCGTTAGAGGACCTTAATGTCAGCAGTAAGAGGACATTAATAACACATTAAGAGGACATTATTAATAGCAGTAAGAGGACATTAATAATAGTAATAAGAGGACATAAATAACAGCAGTAAGATGACATTAATAACAGTAGTAAGAGGACATTAATAACAGCAGTAAGAGAACATTAATAACAGCAGTAAGAGGACATTAATAACAGCAATAAGAGGATATTAATAACAGCAATAAGAGGACATTAATAGCTGCTGTAAGATGATATTAATAATAGCTGTAAGAGAACATTAATAATAGCTGTAAGAGAACATTAATAACAGCTGTAAGAGGACATAAATAACAGCAGTAAGAGGACATCATTAACAGCAGTAAGAGGACATCATTAACAGCAGTAAGAGGACATTAATAACAGCTGTAAGAGGACATAAATAACAGCAGTAAGAGGACATCATTAACAGCAGTAAGAGGACATTAATAACAGCAGTAATGGGACATTAATAGCTGCTGTAAGATGATATTAATAATAGCTGTAAGAGAACATTAATAACAGCTGCAAGAAGATATTGATAACAGCAATAAGATGACATTAATAACAGTAGTAAGAGGACATTAATAACAGCTGTAAGAGGACATTAATGACAGCTGCAAGAGGATATTAATAACACCAATAAGAGGACAGTAATAACAGCAGTAAGAGGACATTAATAATAATTGTAAGAGGACATTAATAACAGCTGTAAGATGACATTAATAATAGCAATAGGAGGACATTAATAGCATCTGTAAGAGGACATAAATAACAGCAGTAAGAGGACATCAATAACAGCAGTAAGAGGACATTGATAACAGCAGTAATGGGACATTAATAGCTCCTGTAAGATGATATTAATAATAGCTGTAAGTGAACATTAATAACAGCTGCAAGAGGATATTGATAACAGCAATAAGAGGACATTAATAACAGCAGTAAGAGGACATTAATAACAGCTGTAAGATGACATTAATAATAGCAATAAGAGGACATTAATAACAGCTGTAAGAGGACATTAATAATAGCTATAAGATGACATAAATAATAGCAATAAGAGGACATTAATAACATCTGTAAGAGGACATTAATAACATCTGTAAGATGACATAAATAATAGCAATAAGAGGACATTAATAACATCTGTAAGAGGACATTAATAACAGCTGTTAGAGGGTTTTAATAGCATTTGTAAGAAGACAATAATAGCAATAAGAGGAGATTAATAACAGCAGTAGGAGAACATTAATAAAAGCAATAAGAGGACATTAATAACAGCAGTAAGAGGACATCAATAATAGCAATAAGAGGACATTAATAACAGCAGTAGGAGAACATTAATAATAGCAATAAGAGGACATTAATAACAGCAGTAAGAGGACATCAATAATAGCAATAAGAGGAGATTAATAACAGCAGTAAGAGGACATCAATAATAGCAATAAGAGGAGATTAATAACAGCAGTAAGAGGACATCAATAATAGCAATAAGAGGAGATTAATAACAGCAGTAAGAGGACATTAGTAATAGCAATAAGAGGACATTAATAACAGCAGTAAGAGGACATCAATAATAGCAATATGAGGAGATTAATAACAGCAGTAAGAGGACATTAATAATAGCAATAAGAGGACATTAATAACAGCAGTAAGAGGACATAAATAACGGTTGTAAGAGGGCATTAATAACAACAGTAAGAGGACATTAATAACAGCAGTAGGAGGACATTAATAGCAGCTTTAAGAGGACATTAATAATAGCTGTAAGAGGATATTAATAACAGCTAAGATGACATTAATAACAGCTTTAAGAGGACATTAATAACAACAGTAAGATGACATTAATAACAGCTGTAAGATGACATTAATAACAGCTGTAAGAGGACATTAATAACAGCTGTAAGAGGACATTAATAACAGCTGTAAGAGGACATTAATAACAACAGTAAGAGGACCCACCTATGGAAGAACAGAAGGATGGCCACTCCCCACAGCACCAGCACTAACAGCACCAACGTGATCTCCTCCGCCCTCACCAGCGCTGTCCCCGCGTCCGTCACTAGCTCTGAGGGGGAAATGGGGGGTTAGGGGACACTAATGGTGCAGTAATAGCAGTTAATAGGCACTAAATGGGGGTAATAATAGGTGTTATTAGAGTTTAACTAGGGAGCAATGGGTGTTAATAGGCACCAAATAGGAATAATAGGTGTTATTAGTGTTTAACGCGGGAGCAATGGGTGTTTATAGGCACTAAATAGGAATAATAGGTGTTATTAAAGTTTAACTAAGGAGTAATGGGTGTTAATAGGCACTAAATAGGAATAATAGGTGTTATTAAAGTTTAACTAAGGAGTAATGGGTGTTAATAGGCACTAAATAGGAATAATAGGTGTTATTAAAGTTTAACTAAGGAGTAATGGGTGTTAATAGGCACTAAATAGGAATAATAGGTGTTATTAAAGTTTAACTAAGGAGTAATGGGTGTTAATAGGCACTAAATAGGAATAATAGGTGTGATTAAAGTTTAACTAGGGAAAATGGGTGTTTATAGGCACTAAATAGGAATAATAGGTGTTATTAAAGTTTAACTAGGGAGTAATGAGTGTTAATAGGCACTAAATAGGAATAATAGGTGTTATTAAAGTTTAACTAAGGAGTAATGGGTGTTAATAGGCACTAAATAGGAATAATAGGTGTTATTAAAGTTTAACTAAGGAGTAATGGGTGTTAATAGGCACTAAATAGGAATAATAGGTGTTATTAAAGTTTAACTAAGGAGTAATGGGTGTTAATAGGCACTAAATAGGAATAATAGGTGTTATTAAAGTTTAACTAAGGAGTAATGGGTGTTAATAGGCACTAAATAGGAATAATAGGTGTTATTAAAGTTTAACTAGGGAGCAATGGGTGTTAATAGGCACTAAATAGGAATAATAGGTGTTATTAAAGTTTAACTAAGGAGTAATGGGTGTTAATAGGCACTAAATAGAAATAATAGGTGTTATTAAAGTTTAACTAGGAAGCAATGGGTGTTAATAGGCACTAAATAGGAATAATAGGTGTTATTAAAGTAAATAGAAATAATAGGTGTTATTAAAGTTTAACTAGGAAGCAATGGGTGTTAATAGGCACTAAATAGGAATAATAGGTGTTATTAAAGTTTAACTAGGGAGCAATGGGTGTTAATAGGCACTAAATAGGAATAATAGGTGTTATTAAAGTTTAACTAGGGAGTAATGAGTGTTAATAGCTCACCTCTGATCTTGAAGAAGATGGCCGAGGTGTTGGCCATGGCGTCTGTCGTTAACTTGACCTCGTAAGTTGTCCAGGGTTCGACCCCCTCCTCCAGGGTCACTCCCCGGTTGTTACCCCCCACACGACCCAGCATGAACCTACGGGAGGTGGTGAGAGGTCAGGTTGGGGTAGAGAGAGAAAGAGAGAGAGAGAGAGAGATAAACAGGACGTAAACAGTCTAACATGAACAAGTGGATGTAAAATATATGACAGCATCTGCCATAATTAACCACCTGCTTGTGTAAAATGCATCAACTGGTTCGTAAACTGCCGTGCAGTAATTGTATGTCATGTTAGTGAACTCTGAAAGAGAGAGATGGGCCTCTAGTCTAACAACCTTTTATTAGATATTACAAGTTGTGAAGAGAGAGCGGGGAACTATGACAGTGAGAGAGAGAGAGAGAGAGAGAGAGAGAGAGAGAGAGAGAGAGAGAGAGAGAATAGCCTCAAGAAAATATAATTACATCAACAGTGTCATCTTAGCAGAATAAAAGAAAATCCTTCAGAATTAATAAAGGTGTTGTGTGATTCTTACTTAAAAATTTCTTCTCTTGAAATTCTTTATTCCTCGACTTTAGAAAGTAGGAAAATATATATTTTTGTTCATTAAAAATTCTTTTGCATTAAAAGTTGTTAACGTGTTCCTATTATACATGAAACATTGGAGAATATGTTACTATTACGCGGGAAAATTAATTTTATTGCTACAGACAGAAACTAATATTAAAAAATTTCACTTTTGAAGGGAAAGTGGATATTGATGTCAGGAACGCAAACAAAGAAAGAGAAAGGGCAACGACGTCGTAACTTGTACACGATTGTTTCAATGATCGCAGTTAATGCCTTTGGTGGCTGGTGCTGGTTGACACCTGGTAGAGCATTCCTTGCCATGAAGAAAAACAACATAGCCACAAGAAATTGGGTTTTATTGTCACACATTTAGTTTTTCCTGCATATAATTTTTTGTGTTCACTGTACTCAGTAATCCTTAACTTAGCTCTCGATGCTGCATACAGGAGGAACGAGAACGACAAGATAAGGGCATACGGGGGGAAGAATTCAGAACGTTGATCAAGGCAGCTTCACTCCTCTGGTGTTCACAACCTCTGGTGGGATGGGACCAAGTGCAAGACGCTTCTACGCCAGACTCGCTGAGGTACTATCCGAACAGAAGCAGCAGCCCAGAAGTTATGTTGCAGCCTGGATGAGATGTCGACTGTCCTTCTCTCTGCTTAGGTCTGCATTGCTTTGCCTCAGAGGAACGAGAACATCGGCCCCAAAGTCGACAACAGTTGCAGACTTCGACTTTGAGGCAACCGACACTGAATGCCGCATAGATCTGCTGCTCATCTAACTCAACACAGCCAGGGTAGCTACTTATGTATTAGGATAGTTAATTTTAAGGTAATAAAATGGCGGCGAAGGTGTGGCTATTGTGGGAAGCTGGACGCCTTATAAAAAAAGATGTAGTAGTTGTAGTAGTCACGGCAGCTCTCAGTGAGCACATAATAGCTCAGAATGCAGCGAGTCAGGTGGATACCAACGAATTAAACAAGATTCGACGGTCCATTACGACAGAACGGCAGCACACCCAAAGTGATAAACTGCAACAACTGTTGCAGCAATTGTCAGAGAACTTGAAGAAAAAGTAGCTAAAGTGCAGGAGGTGGGCGCCTCGAACTGGCTAACAACGTTACCGATAAGGGCAAAAGGCTTCATTCTTAATAAATAAGAATTCACAGATGCCATTACTCTAAGGTATGGTAGGCCAGTAGAAGATTTGCCCTCCCAATAGGTGTGTGGCTCATCTTATGACATTGACCACGCCATGGTGTGCAAGAAAGGGGGTTTTGTATGCATGAGGCATGACGAAGTAAGGGATCTAACAGCAAATTTACTGAAGGAAATCTGCCTCGACGTCATGGTGGAACCGGGGCTCCTTTGGACGGTGAGAACCTAGGTCACAGGACTTCAAACACATCCAACGAAGCCCATGTGACGTAAGTGCTCGAGGACTCTGGACGCGGAGACACCGAGACTTCTTTGAAATAAGGATTTTCGATTCCATGGCCGCATGTCACTATATCCTACCTCTCGATGCTGCACACAGGAGGAACGAGAATGAGAAAATCAGGGCATATGGGGAGAGCATTCAGAACGTTGATCAAGGCAGCTTCACTCCTCTGGTGTTCACAACCTCTGGTGGGATGGGATCAATTGCAAAATATTTCGAGGCCAGACTCGCGGAGATATTATCTGAACGAAAGCAGCAGCCCAGAAGTTACGTTACAGCCTGGTTGAGATGTCACTGTCCTTCTCTCTGCTTAGGACTGCATTGCTTTGCCACAGGGGAACGAGAGCATCGGCCCCAAAGCCAACAAGTCACTGGATGCCGCATAGATCTGCGGCTCAACTAACTCAACACAGCTAGGATAGCTACTTTTGTATTAGGACACTTAATATTAAGGTAATAAAATGGCGGCGAAGGTGTGGCTGTTGGGGAGGGTGGAGGTCATGATAAAAAAAAGTAGTAGTAGTAGTAGCAGTAGATCTGCGGCTCAACTAACTCAACACAGCTAGGATAGCTACTTTTGTATTAGGACACTTAATATTAAGGTAAATAAATGGTGGCGAAGGTGTGGCTATTGGGGGAGGCTGGAGGCCACGTTTAAAAAAAAAAAAGTAGTAGTAGAAAGCTTCCATTCACGCCATGAGAACGATATTTGAACAGCGTGATTGTGAGGCCGTTCTCCTGGTTGACGCTTCAAACGCATTCAACATACTTAACCATAAGGCCGCACTGCACAACATCAAGATCAAGTGTCCAAGCTTTGCAATGTATGTTGAAAACTCCTATAGGAATCCATCAGACCTCTGTATAGTAAACAACAAGGCTCTAAGAGGCGATACCATCATACAGGCAACCGAGGGAACAACGCAGGGGGACCCTGTTGCAATGGCAATGTACGCAATAGGCCTATCCGTGCTCCAACACACAATAAAATTTGAAACAACTAAGGTCAAACAAGTAGAGTACGCTGATGACCTTACAGGAGCAGGAAAAGTGGAGGACATCAAAAAGTGGTGGGACCTGGTAACATTGCGAGGCCCACAAATAGGGTACCACCCAAACGCCAGCAAGTCCTTCCTCATTGTGAAGCTAGAACATTATGAGCGGGCAATCGAGGTGTTCGGTGGAAGTGAGGTCAAAATAACAAAGGAAGGCCAAACACACCTAGGTGCAGTAATCGGCACGACTGACTTCAAGACCGAGTATGTAACGGGAAAGGTGAATGAGTGGGTTAGGGAAATCCAAGCACTGTCTGAGATTGCTAACACAGAGCCTCATACGGCTTTTTCGGCATTCACTCATGGAGTCAAGCATCGCTGGAACTACCTGATGCGCACTATTCCTGATATTGGTCCCCTCATCCACCCTCTGGAAGAAGCTATCAGCGTCAATTTCATTCCCAAATTAGTGAAACACCCTCACTTAACCCCAGCAGAGAGATCACTCCTTGCACTACCACCGAGACTGGGAGGCATGGGATTGACCAATCCAGAGGAGATTGCTGCCACCGAACATCAAAACTCAGTTAAGCTCACGGCAGCCCTCACGGACCACATAATAGCTCAGAACGCAACAGGGGAGTTGGATACCAGCGAAGTAAACAAGATTCGAAGGTCCATTACTACAGAACAACAGCACAGCCAAAGTGATAAGTTGCAGCAACTGTTGTTGCAAGTACCAGAGAATTTGAAAAAAAAGTAGCTATAGCGCAGGAGGTGGGCGCCTCGAACTGATTAACTACGTTACCGATAGGGGCAAATGATTTCAGTCTCAATAAACAAGAATTTACGTTGATCACGCCATGGTGTGCAAGAAAGGGGGCTTCATATGCATGAGGCATGACGAAGTAAGGGATCTCACAGCAAATATGTTGAAGGAAATCTGCCGTGATGTCATGGTAGAACCGTCTCTCCTTCCATTGGACGGTGAGATCTTCCAACATGGGACTTCAAACGCATCCAACGAAGCCCGAGTTGACGTCATTGCTCAAGGATTCTGGACACGGGGACAGCGAGCCTTCTTCGACATCAGGATTTTTTATCCCATGGCCGCATGTCACCGTAACTTAGCTCTCGATGCTGCACACAGGAGGAACGAGAACGACAAGATAAGGGCATACGGGGAGAGAATTCAGAACGTTGATCAAGGCAGCTTCACTCCTCTAGTGTTCACAACCTCTGGTGGGATGGGATCAAGTGCAAGATGTTTCTACGCCAGACTCGCAGAGGTGATCTCCGAACAGAAGCAGCAGCCCAGAAGTTATGTTACAGCCTGGATGAGATGTCGACTGTCCCATTCGCCACTCGTCCGTCGCCATGGGACTTTTGGAGGTATAGGGGCTTTGATGATGATAAGAGGTATGATGAGCTGGATGATGGCTGCACGTGAGTTGATTTATGTGGTGATGCAGGAGTGCTGGCTGCAACCACACATCTTAGCTCTCCCTTTTCCTTATCTAGCAGTGCAAGTGTTGCAGCGACTGGGGAGAGGGAGAGTTGCAATGGACTGCCGATAGCCCAGTTTGTTGGGTTTTGCCTTAGTAGCCTGCCCATCAGGCATTGCCTTTGTCCTCCAGTGTAGTTGTTGGGTTTCCATGGTGGTCACCTCATCTGCCTATACTGCCGTTGGGGTGTTGTTGGAGCTCTGTAAGCATGTCTGCCTAATGAGGGGCACCACCATAGATTTTTCATTCGGGGTTTACTCCCGTAGCCTTATACCTTCCAAGGTCAATCCGCAAGGCAGCAGGTCAGTGGTTGGTAGGCGACAGGACGTGTCCAAATGCCAGTGGGCCTATGTGCTATTCCTCTGAAGCCTACTGTTACTCCAAGATCCTCTGCTGGTCTAGCTTGGGCCTATGAGGCACCCAGTTACCGTGTGTTGCTACGAGGAGGCACAGCAGGAGTCTTGATGGTGAGGTGGCTGTGTACTGGCAGGGGAAGACTTATGCACTTATGCAAGTCGCTTCTCTGTTCGTCAAGAGGGCTAGCCAGCAAAAGCAGCTGAAAGCGAGATTGAGCACTCA